GGGGGGGGGGGGGGGGAGGGTAGACAAGAAGTCGATCCATTGCTTGGATTTCGAATGCTTTGGGCTGTCAACTAGTCAGTCGATTTTGCCTATCCTGATGTTACTATGCTTTTAGTGTACAACATTTTCTTCACATAGATTTGAGAATAGTTTCATTGTACGTTATGCAGAATTCCTTAATTAATTTAAAGCAGGAAAGCTGCTATCTATACTGCACCAGCCGGAGAAATGAAGGCTCATTGAGAGTGTCTATATAGTGCGTTATTAATTAATTAGTTAGACGAGGGGGGCGGATGAGAATAGATGTAGTGTTGGCTTTCTTAAGTATAGTCAATTTAAATAGATTGGAATGTTTTAAAACAGTGCGTTATTTGCGAAAATGACGTCTTCAAATATTGCTCTATTTTCCCCTGCAGGCTGGTCTAACACCCCTTCACGTAGCAGCCTTCATTGGCAGCGCAGAGTTGGTTGGTGTGCTTTTGGAACGCGGTGCTTCCGTGGAACAGACAACTATGCGAGGTGAGACACCACTGCACTTGGGTGCAAGATCCTGCAGACCTGAGGTTGCTGAACTCCTGCTAACTCATGGTGCCTCTGTTGATGCCAAAGCTAAGGTGAGATTCAATGAAAATATCAGCACTTCAGTCCTGATACAGAATTAAAAAATTAGACTCCCAAGACCCGAATTTAAAGTAAACTGTCTTAATCACTGATTACGAGTTTCAATTCATCTGGCCTAAACATCACATTTTTTGCCTACTAATTTCCAAAGACACCAATAGGAGGTACTTTGAGCAAGTAAACAACATCGTGAGAAACTGGTTATTGGCCATTCTTTGACCTCTTATTACTTAATATGAGCGAACGGAGCGTTCAGCAAATGAGCCGACATTCTTATTTCCTTTTACTGTTTAGGGTTGCTAAAATACAATGCTTCTATATAAAACAAAATGAATAGTATCATGGTAAAGTCGATTTGAGTCTGTTGTTATCCAAACTTGTTTTGCCAAAGTCTTGCGACATTCGACTTGTTGAAACTCTGTATTTTGGAGTCGCGCACTCTTTAGAGGGGAACTCTGACTTACTAGACGTATATGCTTGTCATGTCATCACCAATGAGAAATGAAAGGACACATTGACCACTCCACTGTTAATTCTTGTATGGAATATAAATGCACAATATCTTCATGCCGTGTCGAGTTTCGAGGCAATTACCTATTTTCGACGCCATATGATTCATTTGCTAATCAACCTTGTATTTTAATTTAAAATTCAAATTAAGCACGTATGAATTCACTTTTAGTTTTCGAAATCTCTTGAAACTGCATTAGAAATTCGTGGCCTTGAGTTTTGTATTGCATCTCTTGATGGGTTTTGTGTCAATCCGAGCGTGCTCGGTGTTACTGTGTTCCCTCGGTATCTTGGCATTCGAGTAATTAGTTACACACCTTTGTTGCGGCACATTCTTGACCATGTATATTCTTACCTTCTTATGAGATTTTATCAATTCGGTCATTTTGAGGTTTTAACAACAGTCGTCAGTTTGAGAAAATTTTCCCATAGATCATATGCAAAATTGGAATTTATCTTTTCAAATGACTGAATTATATGTAACTTTAAAACAAATATTCCTGCGGAGAGAGGGAGAGAGAGAGAGAGACATTTGAAGCTTTTTTTTGTCGTTGGGGAGAGTTTAAACAAATCTGTTCGGGCAGAATCACGACATTTTCGTCGAAGGAGGTATTTTCTAAAATGAGATGGATGGAACCTTTCAGTCTTTCATTTTCGTCAGTTTCTTTATTATGAATTTTGCAAGACGTGGAAATGGAAATTCGACATGTTTTTGGCTTATAGTGAATGACAAAGTCTGCAGATGATTGGACAGAGAGATAATATCCAATTATTTCAGTTTCCGGTTTTCAAAATGTTTGCTGATGTCATCGAATCTTCCTACTGTTTCTTCAAGATTGATTTATTCTTTTCTTGCTGTTTTTATATTTCCTTGGGATAGTTTCCCAATTTCTCAATATTTATGGCAATTTTCTGAATAAATATTCTACTTTTGAAGCCTTTCCAGTCGCACATGTCCACCTTTTGCGGTCTTTAAACTCTATCACCCAATTTCCAGTTACGATAAATGCCAAAATATGGGTGAGCACACATTTAATTTTAACGAAGACCTTGAGGCTTGCAAACGGTCAAATAATGTAAGATTTATGGTGAAATAGATGGAGAAACATATTACAACTTTTATTTTCTCAGGTTGGGGTGGTTAAGGCAAATTTGTCTCTTATGAAAATTATGTTTCCTCCCTCCCTCCCTCCCTCCCTCTCTCCCTCCCCCCATCACTATCCTTGTGAACGTGCACGACAATTGAAAACACTTAAAATCTCCTTTCTTAAGAAAACCCTATACGTGGTCCATATTCGTGTTGTCCGGACTTGTGTAGCTAGTAGCTTAAAATGAGGAAATGTTAACTGGCTACATAATAGCTAGTTTGTACTTATTAAGCTGTTCTCAGTTACCATTCGTTGATAATATTGTCGTAATGGGGAGGGAGGAGAAAAAGGTAATACTGGGCTTCATATATATCAGACATCCGGAAATGTATATAATTTGTCACCTGAATGGTTATTTGCATTGGAAGTAAACAATTTACAGGTTGTAAATATGATATAAATTCCTCTCTAAGGTGGATAATTAATTTAAGATTTGTGGAAAGGTTTGCTTTGATAGTTCATTTCCTATTAGTCAGTGGGTCTCAATGCCAGAGCTTTGTCGTCCCTGGTTGCACTGTGGCCAGAATGACCCAAATCCAAAGGCAAGAATGGAAGAGTCGTTCAGCTACAATGATGGTCCCCTTCCCTAAAAATTGTACTTGTTTTTATTGATTTTGATACGAAAAAAAATTGTGTACAACCTTGTTAGTCAATACTTTGATTATTATTTTTTCAACGTGCATATTAAAGCGTGAGTTTTGATGGCTCAATAATCAATAATGCAGTGCACGAAAGCTGAAGCCTGTGAACTTTCCTCGAATGCACAGAAAACAGTTAAATTCTTTTTCTGCCAACTTTGTAGTAATCGCATGCATCCTTTTAACTAATTGCTTCAGCGCATACGATCGGAAATTCATGTTTCCTTTTTTTCCCATCTTGTGTGCCTAGCTACTGAATGTTAGGGAGTTATTTTAACGAACACCCGATGGTAAATAGCAATATTTCAAGTGGGTAATTCGATCGAATTTTAAAGGCTGTGATTGAAAGTTAATTAACGGTGCCTTAGGACCTCACACATTGCAAATAACAGTGAAAGCCCACAGCTTATTCCCTTGTACCAATTATAATCTGCTGCTGCGTAATTGCAGGATTTAATGCCGCTTTAACGAAGAAATAAATAAAATTTAAAAAATACGGGTATAAGTAATCCAGGCTCCAGGCAAATTAGTTAATTATCAATAAGTAAGCAGCAAATTTGGTACACCAGTTGCTAAATTTCGTTAGTTTAATTTGTGTACTTACAAAATTGAATCAGTTTGAAAACTGTTGGCAATTTTTGTACAGTTGAGGAGGCGGGCATAATGCCATTGAAAGGATTGGGTTCTGTCGACTTGTAAAGTCGATACACATCGATTCACTTCCAGGTTGTTTGGTTGGCCGATTTCAATGGCGATATCCGACGAGTGATTGAGTGCAGAGCTCTCGGAAACAAGACTACTTGGTGCAATAATAGCTGCCCTGGTTAATCTTTGTCTAAAAATGAATTCCTCATAAGATTGATTCCAAGACACATCTTTTGCCAAAGTCCAATTTCGCAAATGCTTCCCCTAATGTACTTGGAAATTTTTATTGTTTCATAACAGTTTAACACAATCCAGACCGAATATACAGGTGAAAACTGACTTTACACTTTGGTTTTCTCAAGTGAAAGTGAATTACCACTCGTTGATCGAAAGATCTCCTCTATGAATCGTCTTTTTACCTAATTAATGGCTATGACGGATGCCTTTAACTTTCATTTCATTTTAATTTTGCTTTTAGTCTCACTGTAAGAAGCAGTGAAAATCTTAGTTAAAAATCATTTGCAAACTTTTTTTTCATGACGCACTGACCTGAGTACACAGCGCACACCTTTTTAATTCTGTGAATTTGGATGGTGTTTGTATGTGCATTCAGAGCTTGCGCGCGTGTGTGTGTGTGTGTGACCTTTCGGTCAAAATTGACTCTCCTTCCCTTTTGGCTCAAACACTCGCTTGGTAGTCATAACCCCGCGCGCACACACACACCTACTTTATTAGGTTTGCGTCGATTTCCTTCATCGTATTCTAGTGACCTTCGCTTAGCCTACATTAAGCATTGCGTGCTCGTATTTTTTTTCGTAGACAGTTATTGCTGAATTCCAAAGATGCTCTTGCTAGCAGATGTATCACATAGTAGAAATCGAGGATAATAGGTCTTTTTTCGAATCCACTTCGTTTTCATTATGAAATATGTCATTGAAGTTGATGACTGACAACCCGCGAGGTCATTGGCTTGAAGTAACATTTTACTTAACCGTTTCTTCAATCCAGTTTTATTAGAGGCGGGGGGTTACTCTAATACACGTGAATAGCTTATCCAATTGCGTAAATGACACTTGTAAAAGGAACCACTTTCTGCGTTGTTAGTTTATTCGGTGCCGATGACATTTTTTGTGTAGGTGTATGTATCACAACGTTCATTTTATTATTATTGCAACTTCCGTTTAGAGTGGAGGTGCTCTGTGTGAACAATGGTAAACTTATTGATAGGCAACTATTTTTTTTTGAAGTTAAACGTTCTACTTCGATTTTGAGATAGCATCTTGTAATTCCGGACGCTTTGAGGCTGGTTATTTAGCCTTGTACAGAAGTTCAATCTCTGAATGATTTCCATAGCTCGGTACATTTTCAGCTTATTCGATGCGTTTCCAGCCTTCAAGAATGGAATATCTTAATGTATATAAGGATACTTCGAGAAGAGGGTTTCAACGTCCATGCCTTTTTAATAACCTAAGAGCAGGTGACCGGCTCTTCGCCAAAATTTCGAAATTGTGATTAGTATATAATAAATCAGATATGTGATAAATGTTGGTCACACAACAACCTTATACAACCTTGTTTGAATCGTAATCTTTGTGGGTTTGTGTTCTCATATTTTGCAAATATTTCATTTAGAATGATAGGTTTCAGAGCTTACTGCAGAGGAACATAGTGATTGTTTGGCTTGACTATTATGTTACCACCGTGCTCCGAGAGTGCAATTGTTCTCATTTAGGCATGCATTCATTAATTACTTCCATTTACCCACCCACCCACCCACCTTCCCTCTTATTGTGCATGCATCACCACCGCCTACCGTCATTACTACCACCTTGGTTTAATTATGCATGCCTATATGTTTATAATTTCTTTGTCACCAAATGTAGTTCATCACTTAAATGGAAGGCAACAAAAATCCCCGCCATTCTCTACGATTTTGGCTAGGTTCTTAAGCATCTACACAATTGAAACGATGCCTCTTTTGTATTTAGGTGTAGATTCTATCTCACCGATTGATATTAATTTGTTCATTTAGTCATTCAGCTCAACGCTTATACACCACTGTATACCAAACTCGTACTTTTGTAATGAAGCCTACTCTCTTATATTATTTAATATTACTCTTTCTAAAACAAAACAGTTTTTCCCCTTTAATCATAGAAGGCATATCTATGCAGGAAGTGTAGTTGAATTTTTCAGATAAATAATAAAGTTTAAGGCATCAAATAAGCTTTACCGCTTTCATAGGGTTCTTTTTCCCTTATTACTTAATTGGTGGAGAACTTTGTAAAAGTTAGAAGTTCTCCAGGAACTAATCCTTAGATTTCCGTGTGACTGTTCGTTTTCACTGTCTTTGGTGTTGATTAAATCGAGAGTTTGGTTATGTATAATGTCTTGGCCAATCATGTCATTGGTCGATATTTTGGTTACATTACTCACAATACTGCCTTAAAAGCTAGGCCAATGCCTCTCAAACTAAGACGCTCATAGAAGTAAGTAAATTTTGAAAGATCTTTGATCGAAATAAATTAGTTATTTGAAAATTATAAATATCTTTGCCTAGGACACATTAATGGGCAATTGTTGCTTTTAAATTGAAACTGCACCTCTTAGCGTTAGGATTGCTAAGGCAAGTTTGAACTAAATTCCTATTTATCATAATCAAAAATACTGGGTTTCCCTACCCCTCCCCCCCCCCCCCCATACAACGAACACACTTACTCGTTTCTCCATCCCATTTTGGACTGCAAATTACTATTTAATCGAACAGACTTAATGACAGAATTTAGCTGAAGATACTATCTCATGCCCATTAGTTGCTTAAATCCTGTCAAGATCCAGACATATGATTGCCTCCTGGCGTATACTTGTTGGAGAAGAAGAATTGCCAACATTTTGGAGTGATTTTTGTGCAAAATTTCTCTCACTGCTGTTTCTTTTCACTTTTTTGTTTGTTTTAACGCCACAATGCATATTCGCACAAATTTGCGTTGGAAGGAAATTTGAAGCCTTGCGTTAAAATGCGAATAGATGGGGGTGGGGTTGGGCGGGGGGGTGAGGGGGGGGATTTTTTCAGCCTGTATTTTTTGTTAACATTTTTCGACATCTACTTCTTCTTGACTCGATCTTCAATTTGAAAATTACTATGGCAACTTGTTAAAATAAAATTCGTACTAAGATTTGATTGCTGTGTGTAATTAGAAAGGCGTTTCTTGTACTTGGGGGGAGGGGGGGGGGGGGCAATAGAATTTATATCCACTTTTGGGATTTGAGCTCTCTTGCGCATTTGAAGTAATTTTGGATTTAGAGTATATTTTAATGGCGTTAAAGAGATAAATTTCTAAGGTTAAAAGAAGCAAATAACGAATTCACGTCTTCATGAGCATTTACTATCATTTGAGTGCTCCATTGGTGTATTTATAAAAACGCAAAGTTCACGTAAGAAATTATCATCTATGAGTGATTGACCCACTCGAACAATTTTGGTCAACAAAAGTGGAGAGTGGGAGTGTCAATTTCCTGTTTGAGAGGCGCAATAAATCCTTCTGTCTACCCAAAATCCTGCTCTGTTAACTATTTTCATAATGGTTTTGGGATTATTTTCCATTTGATTTATGAATTCGTCAAGGTGTTCTTAATGTTGTTAAGTTGCAAAGTTCAAAATTCAAATTGTTAGGAATTTTTCCTTTTCTAAAGCTACAGTTACCCAGGCAACAGGAAGATGAGGCGGGGGGGGGGGGGGGGTGGCAAAACTTGAATCTTAAATAGCAATCTTTTTGTTCTTAGAAAACAAATTAAAATTCTATGGAATGTGATAGGTTCCAGATTCCTGCTTAACCAATAACTACACCGATAAATACTTTGGTGGCCTTACATATTTAGGTGTGAATGTAAAAATCCAATAATCAATAATCTAGCACACGCGTAATGAAGCCTATGAACTTTGTTAAAGCAAATTGAAGCATTCGAATCGGTTTTCTAACAAATCTATGGATTTTTTTATCTGTCATTTTTAGAATTTATCTTTAAGTTTGAGAGTCTGAGTGGTGAGTCATGCTAAATCAGTCAAACAACATTTAAACCTACCGCAATGATTGTTTTATGTTTAAATAAACTCGCTAGTTTAGGGATACTATTTCAAATTATCCCTATTGAAGCGCGCTCTCATTCAATATGATTAATTTGTTTTGCAAAATTTAAATATGCGAACATTCGTTGCAGATAAAATTCCCATGAATTTGCCGATACATAGTGTAAATTAAATATTTCTCACCAAAGTTCCCTGCTTGTTTACTTCATCCCAAATATGCATAATACTCATCATTTTCGCACATCGCTATTTGGGTTAGATATAGAAACAGATAAATGACGCATAAATAATGGGATAGTAGCCAATTAGTGTTCAGGTCCTTATTCTTATATTATCCTTCATAATATCAGCCAAACCCATTCAAATAAATGTTTGTTGACACTAATCATTAGTAGAGGGCTATTACCCCGAAGTTCCATTTGCAGGGGAGCCATTCTCTGTATCAGCCAGACTTAACCAACGAGGCTGGCTATTCTGCTCACCGAATATGCCCTGATAGGAATCAGATCCTTGATCGGCTACACAGAAGTCGATCTCTGTAATCAATATGCCATTGGCATACATCAGAATTGCAACTTAAAGAGACAGTGATTTATTCAATTATTTTTCAACTTTTAGGATGAACAGACTCCGTTACACATCGCCACACTATGTGGAAGCGCTGAAATGGTGTACCTTCTTTTGAAATTTGGTGCTGATCCCAACACAGCAACACGCGATGCCTACACTTCTCTCCACATTGCTGCCAAGGATGGTCGAGCTGATATTGTCCAATGTCTTCTAGCCAATGGAGCAGATTCTGATGCAAGAACTAAGGTTCGTTTTGTCAATGCAATCTTGGAACACATTAGGCTTTTACCAATCTTCCACCCAAGATGAGTCCTGTAGCTTAAACTGCGATTCGTTTGCTTTAATGAGATATAACTACCTATGCAGACTTTGACAACATAGTATGGTTGGTTTGCTCGGTTAACCAGCTATGTAGACTTGAGTAAACGTCATTTTCAATTACAATAGTGGTGCTGCCTCCAGGGACTTGTGCTTGCAGACCCTCTGAAGTTGACTATCGAAGCAAACATAGGACAGAGACCTTTCAGAGTTGTCCATCTTATCATTATAATTTTGGGAAATCGGGGGTGTGCGATAGACTTACCTCCACGTGGTGCACCCTGGGCAACGTATATTCATACGGCAAAAAGTCTATTAACTGGCAGTTGAATTCTCACTTCAAACTACCATCACCTCACTGTATGCCATATTCGACTACTTCCTCAGTACTTACCTCACCTTTTTTCTACCATTGTGTCTCTCTCTCTTTTACATCTTTGAAACACTCTTCTGTCCCCCCCTCCGCCCTCTCGAATTTTTTCACTTTGATGTTCCTTCCCTCTGTGAAGCCTGAAGTCAACTAAAGGGCTAATGATAACCATCAAAACGCCTTCCATTTGGTATAATAATAATAATAATGTTAGGAAATCATCTAAGCGAGTATGGTTTCGTATTTATTTATTCAGTGCATTCCTATAAGGTTTGCTGAGTAAAATACCTTTCAAGCATTTCCATTCAATTTCAAATTATCATAAAAGAACCAAGGCAAAGGCTATGTTGTTAAAACTACTTATGCAATCTATATTCTGGCAAAAGACAAAATGACTTTATTTTTTGACAAAATGTTTCAAAATGTGTAGAGTGGAGGAAAGGTGGTCACTTTCACGTCAATTCAATGGTTTAAACAGTGGTATAGAAGTTATTGACAATCATAAGTTGTGCATATTTCTTGCATAACTTCAAGAATTATTTTGCTATGCCAAAGCAGTTGTGTATCCACAAGGACACTAACTGTTCAAGCTTAATTCGCCCCGAAATATTGCTATGGGCTTTCCTTTAACTTGACTTTACTGTCAATGTGCAAATGAAAATATCTTTCTCAAGGTGATTGCTTCGCCTCACTCTTTTGACAATGATAAATGGTTAGTAATCTGGTCTAACTCATTTACTTAGTGCTAATTTGTTAATATATTCACAGTAACTGTTTCTTTTCATAATTCCGAAGAGCCTGCTAATGTATGATCTGCTGAAGATATCGACAAACTTTTTTTTACCTTCTTTAATATAACATGCTTCACTCGAGTTTACTGTTTGGGTGTAGAAATCAGTGTTACCCTTTACCTGTGGAAATTCTTTGCTGGTTTCAATAATTGAAGCGCATCTGAATACATGAACCAGTAAGAGAGTCAAATGGTCATGAACCTGGAATATCACAACAGTTTTATTGGAATTTGAAGCATTTTCAGTTGTTAGTATTTTCGGATGGGATGAGTCCATTTCATGATGTCGTAATGTTCAACTTTCATAAGCTGACTTCTATATTCACAATATTCATAACTACTTCACCTCTTGAAGTAGTTCCGTAGGTTGAAATTTCAGGCCAAATTATGTGCACATTCTTTAGCAAGTAGATGAGACTAGAGGCGATTCATTTGACTTTATTTTAATGCGAAATGCCTATTTTACTTCAGCGTGGCTTTACTCCACTCCATCTGGCTGCCAAGCGTGGACGAGCAGAGGCTGGACGAACGCTACTGCAAGTGATGCGTCCTGAGGCAGTCAACGCGGTTGGTAGAAATGGCCTCACACCTCTCCACATGGCTGCTCATTACAACCACGTCCAGATTGTTCAACTTCTACTGGAATTCGGTGCTGATCCTGATCTAGCCGTAAGTGCTCTAGTTTTGAATGTTGTAAAGGCAATTCGAACTTTTAAAACTAAAATGGCTAACATTGTATCTGTGTGTGCTGGTGGTGTAACAGTTAAAGTATTCATGTCCACGATATTCAGAGGTTTATCAACCAGTTAATACCGCTAAATCCTGAGTTAGTACTCTTTTATGGACTCAAAGGTCACACTTTCTATTCCCTATGAATAGATATCCAGTTCCGGTCAAGCTTGGTTAATGGGGAGATTTACAAAATTCAATTTTTTACCTGTTATGTTCTTCTCTGTCCAATATGAATGACCTGAAATATAGTTAATAGCTCTACGGTGTTTACTTACACTTCTAGAGATGAATGTAAATAACATTATACATTTACTTTCCCCCAAGTATATTATCTAGAAAAGTTGTTTTTGGTGCAAAAAACCAAAATTATTTTCACTCTGAAAAACTCTACAATCCTAATCGCTCACTGAAGGATCTCTATGATTATAATAAAAATTCAAAATACCTGTATCCCAAACAATCTTTTCTTTTATCTGCCTTTTTTGTGAGAAAAAATTACTTACTTATTTACGGAGGCTAAATTGGAATTGATTGATTATTCGGTTCCTTATTGAATATTTCCGCTGTTCTCCGCTAATTCGGAATGGCAGTTATTTGGGGTTAAAAGTTAAAATGCAGTTTCACAGCTTTTCTCTATATGGGCGCCTGAAACTTGAATCTTCCCATGGGCACTTTTTCGGGTAGGGGTGGTTATTTGGTTCCGAAAAATAGTCTCATGAAATGGAATTCTCTGTTTAACCACTCTGGGTAGATTTTAAGAAAACTATAGTTGTAGAAAAGAACGCTAAGTTAGGTATTCTTTTTGGGAATTTTTTTTATCAATTACGCAAATATCATAGCACTGCCCTATCCTTGCATAACATTTATTTCCTCGAATTAGCCTAATTCGAATGATAATTGACTGAAAACATGTGGTATAACATTTATTGTCACTTTTAATTAAGTATATGCGTTCATTTACCACCTAAGGTTGGCATTTAACGCAACAGTACTGGTTTTTTACTGTTGTGCCATAGCAGAGAATTGTGTAATTAGGAAATTCCTTAACTAACCTTTTTGGATTAAAAATGGTATTTCGAATTCCGTTTTTTGTTAAATTTTTATTGTAAAAACTCTATTGGGCTTATTTTTTAGTCCTATCAAATAGGATTAAAATTTTTCGCACTTTAGTGAGTATTTAATAAAATGGAGTTAGATGCAATGGGAACGCGTTCTATGGACTGCATGACCAGTCACTCTAGTTGAGCTATTAATCAATATTCATTTATTCATTTCAAATGACAGGCGTTTTGATAGTTATCATTAGCTCTTTAGCTGGCTACGGGCTTCACAGAGAGGAGGGGGAATGTGAAAGTGGTAAAATGTCAAAAGAAGTTACAGAATAATGTTTCACAAATGTAAGGGACAGACAGACATAAAGGGAGTAAAAAGGTGAGGTGAGTACTGTGGAATTAATCGAATATGACATACAGTGGGGTGATGGTAGTTTGAAGTCAGAAGTCAGCTGCCGATTAATAGACTTTTGCCGTATGAGTATACGTTGCCCAGGGTGCACCACGTGGAGGTAAGTCTATCGCACACCCCAATATATAGGCGTAGTGAGTTTCCTACCAATGGAGCTACCCAGTCATACATTTCTGTTGGATGATTGTTCCTTTTAAAGGACTTGTTGCTTGTTTTTTCATAACGAAGTGACATTGTGAATCGCTGCGCCACTAAACCGAAAAACGGTAACATTGGGAAGTTTTGCCCTGTTTACAGTCTCCAGGTCTCAGAATATGGAGTCCCCAAGATTCTGTTAAATAATTTCAAATTATATCTACTTCTTCGTTTAACTTCTCAATGTATAATCTGCGACCCGCTTTTTCAATTATTCACATTTGCGTCATATTTTAAGGCCTCCAATCGCTGCTGTTATTGGTGTTTAATTGGGGCAGTAGCGGAGGTAGCTATTTCTTCATTAGAGTAGCTAGCTTTGCTATTTAGACTTATCTTTTTGGTGTCATTAGTGCCTGTTCTTCGCTAGAATTTTCTTACAGCGTTCTCACTCTTTCCATCGATACTTTCTTCTTTTTTCCACAACCTTATTTGTCGAGTGAATTGCTTCATGAAGCAAGCATTTGACGTAGATGTCTCACAAAACCCCTTTATCCTAATAGTTCAATTATTATTATTATCTTCAGGTTAATAACTTTTTTCGAGTACCACAGTCCCATCAAGTTGTGCTATAACGATTCCTACATTAATTCAGTTGTAATCGTTTATTGATAGATTGAAGTGGCCTATACGTCATCTATTATTTGTCCTCATTCATCGTTGTTCTGATGATACTGGAAGTTACTGGGAGCATCCGACTACTCCGTTTTTTATGCAAGACTTGAATGAATGGCGGTAAATACGCGGGCCTGTCCTCACAGAGATATAAAAAATTCAATTGAAAATAAATAACCTAGACAATAAGTGCCATCTACGCCTGTCGTGCTCTCACCAACTTCCATTAGTCAGCTGCCAAATGGTTGAATGATTAATGCCAATAGATTAGCCATGTTTTGCTTTGTCGACTCCTATCATTTTTATTAGCAAACTTCTCACACTTTCATTGTTTTACAGGCGAGCAACGGCTATACTGCCCTACACATAGCAGCCAAACGAAATCACCTGGATATGGCGTCCCTCCTACTAGCCAACGATCGAGATCCTAAGAGGAGCACAAATCGGGAGTCGCGGTGTGGTTTCACACCTTTGCATTTAGCTGCTCAGGAAGGCAGTACTGATATGGTTGGTCTGCTTCTCCTCAATGGAGCTGATGCTGAACACAAGGCCAAGGTGAGACCTCGTTTCCTACTACTTATTACATAGCAGGTAATGTTCACACACTAGAACTCATGAGTTGTAGTATATTGCCTCAGGCTAATGCCGCTTATGCCGACAAACGATTTACAGTTGACAAAAGGCGGAAGCTCTTTTTCTGCTTCTCAGAGGTTTTTCATTATTTGTTCTGCTAGCCTGGTTACTATACTACTCATTCATCAATTCCTTCGGATATTCGATTGGATTTCCTAAAAATATTTAGTAGTCCATTAAGGTAGAAAGCGTAGAGAGAGTGGTGGGGGGAAGGGGGGGGGAGAAATATCACCTCATTTGAACAAACTACTCTCGCAATCAACTATTTGCGCGTTCTTCCTCTATGCCACTTTTTATTGCTTAATTTGTGTATTTCAAGTGCAGAATTTGCCTTATTCTAGGGTATTAGTAAAGCGGCATCATGGCTTAATTGTAAAATTTAATTGTGGCAAACATGCCATATTAGGAAGTTGCCTTCATTACTTAACTGACAGCCCCTACTGAAATAGAACACTGGATAATTGGAGTATACGATAGTGCAACAATGATGCTATCCTTCTGGGTGTGTGATTGAGTGAAAGGTACTTTTCATGCGTTCTTCATTCAATAGTTTTGCCCTGGTAGATTAGGAGTTAACTAGTTGTGGCTATGAGGTGCCAAAACGCCTAAAACACTTATTCTGCTTACTGGGCATAACACAAATACACATATTGGGGTCACTGATTAGGCAAGGCAACAGCGTATAAGGGAATTGGATTGATTGAATATATATGTATCTTAAAGGTTATCTTAGGCGAAATAGGCATGTTGGGTCGAGGTCATAGTTCTTTCCGAAAGCCGTCAAGGGGGTCAGGATAGTTGGCAGCGCTGAAGTACTTACTATTCCCGTACTATTGGCCTTTTATGAAAAAAAGGACGCATTACTAATTCCTCTTCACCATAGTAGCGAATGTAAATGCTCGAGCGATATTTCCATCTTATGCCTTTTCATCGTGAAATATTACATTTCATTATCGATTTATGATGTGCAGTTTTCCTACGTTATTTTCGGTTCATATACTGTTTTGTTATTAACCGATGATTTGCCATCTGGTTTGACTCTCTCTCGCTTATTTTCACAGCTGTTTTCCATTTTTCTAACATGCCTCCAGTTTCCGATACCCAGTTCCCAATTCCCAGTGGTCCTGAAACGTGCGTGACCTGGAATTAAGATAATGGGCATGTGTGCGCTTTTGCCGGACCGTTCTTAACCTTTGTATTGCACTGGTTAATTGTATGCAAAATGGGATATGTGTTTTTGTATGCTAAATCAGAGGTCGTGGTTCGATATCCACTGATTTACTGAATTTTTCTATCCCTATCACAATAATATGTTGAGAAATCGCATTGTAAATGCGCTTTTTTATCTAATCATCATAAATTCTTCCCGACTTTGCAGAACGGTTTGACCCCAATGCACCTAGCAGCCTTAGAGGACCACGTAACAGTGGCTCAGCAGTTGGTGCAAGAAGGAGCCAAGGCGACAGATGTGACTCAAGCTGGCTACACACCCCTCCACACTGCTTGCTACGCTGGGCGTCTCAATATGGCGCGCTTCCTCGTTTCCCTGTCCTCTTCGGATATCAATGCCAAGACTTGTGCTGGTTTTACCCCTCTTCATCTGGCTGCACAACAGGGCCACTCGGAAATTGTCTATCTCCTTCTGGAACATGGTACTGATCCTAACGCCAAGAATAATGTACGCACAAGTTCGTTGAATCTTGAGGAATATGATATACGGTTCTCAGTTTATTAAACACTTAATTTAGGGTTACAGATATCCTATCACAAAAATCTAATGATCTCCTTAAGGTTTAACAGAGTACACCAGCCGTTTTCGACTGGAAAGATAGAGAGTTACGAATGTTTTGGATGTTGTAGAGGAATTAGGCGGGGTGGTGGGTGGAACACTAGGAAATAAGGGGATTTGGGTTTAAATGCGGACGCGAAATTGTTCGAGGGATGCAAAATGAGGTGGGTTTTTGTCTTGTCTTGTGTGTGTGTGTGTGTCATTGTGTAGTAATCAGGATGATTAAACTCATGAGTCACCGTGCATGTCCTGCGATAATTTATTTCAATTAATTGACCCGCATTTATTGTTAAGTAAGTTTATGTCATAGGGTGGTACTTTCCAAACATCTTGTCTTTTATGCACCTCACGGTTTAAACCATTAGGTATACCATCCTGGGTGTTCAAACTATGTTTCTATAAATCTTATCGCCACCTATGCGGAGGAGTCTTTCTCGCTCAATAAGCTCTTCGTATATTAACAAGCATTGAAATCCTTTTTTTGTTTGTTACCGTGTTTGTTTGTCCGTCGATTGGGAACGCCCTTAATCTTCACCTTTTTTTCCTGTTCCACTTTCATGACTAGGTCACAATATTTTCCATTAATATTTCCCACTTCACTTGGTTATCGTCAATGTGCGTGTAGGCTTGTTTTTCTTAGAAACTCAGAAACCTGTTCTTATAAATTTGATTAAATGGGATGTATAAAGTAGACCATTTATGAAAGAGTTTACATTATAAGGAGAGGAGTGGAATCGTGGTCGAAAGTCGAAGACTTCAACTCCCTTAGAAGCTCTGGGAACTAAAAATGAAGGCTGTACTTTGTAAAATTGGAATGTGCTCCTCAGCCCAAGTATAAACTTCATGAGATTCTTTATGGTCACGTTTTTGTCATAAAGCGCGGGAGCAATCATTCAAATTCTAGTTAGTAATTCTTTGAGAAGTGTCACTCCTTTCATTTGCGAGTTTCATTTCAGCATTAGTGTTTAATAAACCATTGGGATGACACAAGCGATATAATCCATTCGTGAGATTGTATTGCGCATATATGTAATTTGAGCTATAAAATATAAGAGTGCGAATGATTGTAAATGATGTCATCATCTCGGCATAGATCACCAAACTTAGTTTAAAATTCAAATTGTTCCTATTAGTATTAATTGGTGGAATACACTTAAATTAATTAAAAAAAGAATATAAATTTTTTTTGCGAAATTCTTTAAGAAGACACTTTCAGAGAAATGGAAGACAAGCTTGTGAATATCTGCCTTGAAACCCCAACACCATCATAAATCTTACTGAGCTATGGGATCTGTGGCCTTTTCTATCTTCATTAATTCAAAACCATGATGGCGTTTGGTTCAAGCTCACCTATCATGTCAAGTAGGTGAGTATTGTGAAAGTTGGTGGCTTTTAAGAGCGAAGGTCTTTATTTGTTCGCGCATTCTTAGCCTCACTTGAATCCAAATTCTTATCAAATTTGCAACAATGGGTGACGCTATTATTTCCGTCTTTAAAATTACAATGTCGTTTAGCAGAATCTGTTGATAATTTTTTTCTTTTGGCTTCCACAGAGCACAGCCCACTGACATTCACGCAAGGTGAACTGCGATTATATGGACCCTCCCCCATCCCCACCCCCACCCATTCATTGGTTTGTAGATAATAGCTAGGAGGGGGGGGGGGGGGGAACTTGTTTGACTTTTCTCAATTATGTTTCTTCTAGTTACGGAAACGAAGCAGTATTTTTTCCAATTCTTCCAACTTTATGGGTACTCTAGCCCACTCTTTTATTGACATGTCTTACCTAATGTGCCACAGGTGGTTTTAATGGGTACGACGGTTCCTAAACCCACTCTCTGTTACGTTTGTGTACGCACGTACACAAACCTTACCTAGTTATTGCTTTTTTGTCTAGTATATAAAGTTCGCTACCCCCCTCCTTCACTAAGACCATCCATGATTGTGTCCCAAGCTCCAAGTCACTGAGAAGCCTATATCCTCGGTCAGTGGGCGGGGTTGTGCAATTTCCAAGTTCACTAAGGCGGAATTCTATCCAATGTTCGGGAAAGGAATCCCCGGCCATGATGACTTTCCTCCAAAATCCACTTTTAACCATTTGTACATTTTCTTTTCAAAAGCAAAATTTTCAAACCCCAAAATGGGAGAAAGCATGCCATTTATCATCCACACTCTTCTCTTTTGTCCTCAAAAAAATTTACTTGAGCATTTGGATACACGTTGCGTTTACTATACTTTTGAAGCTTTGCAAAGAAGAAAAATGTGAATTTCTTCAATTTGGGATGAAGGAGATACCGTCTTTATTTTCTGCTCATAATCCAAGTCAATGGATATATATTTTTTGAATTAATTTCGACGTGAATCACATGTTCCCGATGTCTATGTATCATCGGTGCCACGCAAACAGATAAGATCGCACATGCGACGTCTAATGCGGAGAAATAATTCACTTCAGATCCCTGAGGTGAAGATGACCAAGCAAGACATGGAAAGAGGCGGGAATTTTGCAAAATGCTGGTTTTTATAAAGAATTACGTTTTTAACCGAAAGCACAATTCGTTAGGTACTTTCATTATGAAATTCTTTTCTTTTAAGTATAATGAAGCATTGTAAATTAAGGTTTGTCTGTTTTAGAAAGTGGTTCTAAGCATTTTCCCTACATTAAAATTATAGCACCTCGGCAACACCCTCTTAACCACTAAATAATTGAAGTAATTCAATTCTTTGCGTGAAAAAGAAATCTAATTAATAAATTCAGTCGGAAATAAGCTAATTAAGACATATGCTTCTGGTTTACTAGTTTACTTGGTTAATTAGAACACGAAGAATTCATCAAAGATCGTAGAAATGAAATTGGAGTTATTACAATTATAAGTGGGTAATAGTTGAGTCCACAAGTCGCTGAAGTGATCAGGGTCTTAAAAGAATGCTAATTTAGAGATTAAATATTTTGATTTTCATTGTTACTTAATTTCCAATAAATTACAAAGCACTCTGTTTGAGATACTCCAAGTTAAGGAATAACCAAGATACACAAGTAGCCTATTTTAGAGGTTTGAGTTAATAAAATACACCAATCTAGATTGGTGTAGCGTAATGGTAGTTTTATTTGCGTGTTTGGCATGTTTGTATTTCGATTTGCTTTGTTGGCTCTTTTGCCCTCAGAAACATATTTACATTCTGTTCTCGACTTCTATGTCCACTTACAGCAAGGACTAACCGCAGCAGAACTCGCTCGTTACCAGCACTACTTTGCCATCTTCGACACGCTAAAGACGATCACTACAGTTGTTGACGACTGGGAAGGAACCAGAACCCCGGGAAGTGAGGAAGTTATTCTCGATCTGCCTGAAGTCACCGCAACAATCAGCGAAGCCGCTGAAGCTGAAGAATCGGACGATGAAGGCAGTGAGTTTCAATATATACTCATCTTTCCAGTTAATATTAAGTATATATATATAAAATATAGCTAGAACCAGTCTGATCTTGTGGTACTTATTAGTTGGGGAACGAATACTTCTTTTATTGGTTTCGTCTGACATCGTTTAAGCAAATTTTAGCTCCTAGTCCATAGTTAATTTAATCGGTTTAATTTTTTAACTGTTTTTCGACCTGAAGTTATCCTTCCTATTCGATTTTACCAAAGCTATGGCTTTTATCTTCTATCCCCGCCAACTTAAAGTTTACGAAATCTACAGCCATTGATATTCTCCCCATAGTTTGAATGACCAATTACCTTAGCTAATAATAGTTAATTAAAGTTGTTGTTGGGTGTTAGTCTTGGAACTATTGAAGTCTTTCAAATGTAGGCACCGGGAAGTTAATTCAATGCGATTGTGCTCGGTGGCACAAGGATCAATACGAATGTCTATTAATCCAGAGATCGTGGGAGTAATTTTCATCAGCACACACCCAGTGGCATGAATGCACAACCGCAGGTGTCTGGTGATCAATTCTAGTTAGTGTTTGAGGTCCTTCTAAGACTTGTTCTGTTAGTGTCCTCCAAAGCAAGTCAAGTATTTTGAGTACTTCTAATCAGTTTGAAACATCTAAGTGGGCTGTACAATGATATATACGAAGGCCTGTCAACGCACATCCAGTAATATGAATGGCCAATCACACTGATTATTATTGATTTATAAGGGGATGGGTAGAATTTGGGATTCTAACCGAGGTGGTTACTGGGTACGCTTTTTATAATGATATTGGTAGCTTTATCTTTTGATCAATGAAGAGGGTGTTATCTGATTTCTTATAAGATGGACCTGGTGATATTTCGGTGAAATTAGTGCATAGGGTACCATGGTTGGGATCACCACATTCACATTTGCCAGCTTTCATCATTTCTAATATCATTTGCATGTATTAAATTGCCGATCTATTTATTTACCATCTGTTGAGCAAATGATTTGGTGATGTGCATGCATTTGAAGATATTGGGATACTAATACTTATTTACCTCCCCCCGTCTCTGGCCCTATTTTGTTGTCATAACTTCCTCACACCACTCTTCATTTTCCTCCCATCACCACCATCCCTCTCAATCTATTATCCTCACAGTGATGCATCCCCACCAAGCTGACTATTCCTCAAGTTATCCCTCTCAATACCAGAAAGAATATGTCAGAGCTTCTATTCAACACCCGAATAGCCTACATCCCATAGGTAGGGTTTTCTTCTAATTCCTGTGCTAAATATTTTCATTGTTCTAGTATTCTCATGGTCTCTTCGCTTTGTAGAGTCGTCGTTTGAAAATGACCTCATCTGGGGTGAAATGGAGTACCTGAGTCAACCCATGCGTAAGTTAACTCAATCTCTCCCTTAACACGGCTTGCATCTAATTAGAACCTTATAATTAGAGGAGATGAATTCCTTGTCGGTGACGCATTGTTCACTGCTTTCAGAAGTTATGGGTTCTTTTCTCACTGGCGCACTGCTAGTGAGCGAAATGCTCAACTTTGGCTGATAAAGAGAGTTCCAAAGTTCTGATATTTTACTGGGGTGGCTCAATGATGCCACTCTATAACCAGTTTGAGCGTTGTAAAACGCTTTCCTAAAAGATTTGTGGAACTATTATCGTGTTGTTGTACAATGGATAATGACAAATCTAAAGGCTATTCAGAGCTTATCTCGACAATAGACGGCAAAGAAATTTCAAAGTAATGACGCAAAAGGTCTCTCTTGGAAGCCTCATCGAACAATTATGAAGACAAATGTCAAGTTGTTGTTATTTGAATCCCATTTTATCAAATGTAGAAAACATGGATTTTTCTTGTACAAACTTGCCGCCTTTGTTACCTAGAAAACTGGTGTTATAGAAGTGTTATTTTGGGAAAGAGGGTGCGCTATTTGTGTTCAAGTCTACCTCGGTTTAACCCTGAGTGTGCGAGGAAGGAGGAAATATTCTACGCGTGTGCAGATGCTCGGCGTCACTGGATTTTGCGTGAATGTGCATGAGATGGGGAGGTATCATAAGTGCATGGGCGACCTGCCAATAGACAGAGTTCCTTGTCCGTCAGAACCCTGCTTTAAATGGCTACTAAATCGCACAAATTCACATAGTTCTAAGTTTTAATTTGATGTAAAGTCATAACTCTTAGTAGCATTATGAAGAAGGAATAAAGGCAATCTGTTGACACCATCACAATTCCAGAATCTCGGCATAACTCGAACTGCTACTTCTACTGCCTCTTTTTTGTTTATTTACCATTCATGGTCTAAAATCTTTATTTTTTGCCTTCCCCTTGGCATATTAGCAATAAACTATCTTGATATCTGTCAATCAGGAAACCGAAAAGCAGTAAACGGTGCAACACGAGGTGAGAGAGATGTGCTTTCGTTTTCCATTCTCTTCTGCCATGGTTGCTGTTTTGTGTTTCGCTTTTGTGCTTGTTTATACGTTGTGTGTTGGTGTTATGTTGCATGCTTATTTATCACACACTGAGTTGCATGCACTAAAATTCAAAGTTGTGCACTTTTCAATGCCAAATTACCGAAATGTGTGTGTATGGGAGTTAGGGTTAGAGGTGAGGGATATGCATAAAATCCTACTGGCGCATAATATCGGGGGGG